AGACCAGATCTTAGATAAGTTCTAACTATCTTTTCTCGATAAATTTAAATAGCTGAATATTTATTTTTCTCCCATTCCCAAATTTTAAAATGATAAATCAATTTCTTAGGTGTCACTGATGGGATATGCTTTTATTTTAAAATCGTTTAAAGAGGATATCTAATCAGTTAAGACAACCCAGTTAAAACCATTTTAAATTAAAAGAATATTATCCTTAATCAAATTATGTAATAATGTCAAGTTATACACGTGAGGCTATCATGCAAATCATACAAAAATGATATTAAAGGAAAAAAAACCTATGTCTAAACGAACATACCAATAAACAATGGTAAACACCAAAAAAACCTATCACACTATGAAATTAATTATTCAATATGACTAAATGCAAAAAGGGCCTAGGATTACAAATTTTTCGGGAAATTAATAATTTTTCTAACATTTATTAAGTCTACCATATTCATTTACATGCAACAAACGCTCTCATCCTAAATTAATTAACATTTTAAGATAATATTTATCCAGTTACAAATGCCACCTAAAATAACACTATACATACAGGCCTACAAATAAAATATGTATACATTAAGATGAAATAGTACAAGACTAAATCTACCATTAATAATTTAAACTCAACATAAGATGACATGAAGGGGCCAAAATTATAGAAAGATGAAAATAGACATACAAAAAGGAAATTACTCCTTAAATTAACAAGCATACAACGTGACTAAATTGCGAAATAACCAAAATTACAAGCTACGTTCGAAAATAAAACATAACAATAAATCAGGACTAAAATTAAACGCACTTTAAAATAAAGCAACTAAATTAAAAACACAGAAACGTTCAAAATGAGGACTAAAACGAAACATGTGAAAATTACAAGTCGAAAGCATAAACAAACAGAAACTAAATACATTACCAGTTAGGGTGAAATTAAAATAAGGATAAAACATGGAGACAAAATCAGAAATGCAAAAACACCAATTTAAGGACCAAAATGAAATGCGAACAAAACCTAAGAACCATATTAAAAACTTGCAGAACCACGAAACCAGGACCAAAACATAAGAACTCGGAAATAAAGGGAGTCTTTACATGATTAAGCCTCTCAGACACAGAATCTATACGACAGCGTTTTAACAATACCATATATTTAATTTCTAAGGCAAAAATAAACCCTAATTCATTTGTGTCATCCCCAGCCGCAACTCCCCCCTCGCTCTCAACTCTTCTTCTTCTTCGCCTCGCCGAGAGCCTCCAAAGGCCAAGGTTCCTCACTGGCCGCTGACCGCCTAACTCTTCCACGCCGATGAGGCCCGAAACCAAACCCAACTTCTCAGTTCTCCCTCTAGACCACAAACTCGAGGCAAAATCTCACTAGATCGACCCCTAAACCATGAACAAACTTCGACCCCAACATGCAAGACCGAAAGGGCCTCCGGTGGACCAATCTACACCTACGAAGGGACCGGCCGCCAGGTAAAACACTAGGCTCTTCTCTCTATTTTTTTCTTATCGCTTTTAAACGCTCTTAAAAAAAACATATACATACACACGAACAGAAAGGAAAAAAAGAAAAAAAGACAGAATACGAATGAAAATACCCTTGAGGAGTCTCTGATTTGCTTCTAAATTTCGAATGATATTGCCTTTAGAATACAAAAAATGAAAACAAAATGTCTTCTATTCCTTGAAAATTGGGGAAGAACCCCTATTACAATTTGTTTTCTTTTCTGTTTTTCGTCCCCTCTGTTCCCCCCTGCTGTTCGTTTCTGGTCCTTGAACCCCAGTGTCCCTCCCCTGGTTACTGTCTTTTTGTGTTTTCCCGAGACCCCCCCGTATATCTTCCCCCCTTGGCCTTTTAAAACTGATTTCTTTTTATGTTTTTACTGACCCCTTCTCTGTTTTTGCTCCTCGTTAATTGCTTTGTCTTGAATTGTGTGGTCGTTGTTTTTTATGCTGCAGAGCATGGGTGGCAGAGCCATGTCTCCGTCTTCACGGTCGTGGTCTGCTGTAGTGGAGCAGGGTGCATGAGCACGGTGAAGCACGGGTAACAAAAGAGATGTCTTCACGTGGGCTGTTGGTGGAGGCATGGAAGAAGCTTGGGGAGTAGCATATCATGGGCGCCGGGTATGCTGAACCGGGTCGGGTATTGTAATTAAATTGGTTTGTAATTGGGCTTTAGGCATTTAATCTGGATTTGAATTTGAATTTGGTCTTTAATTTATATCTTGAATTCCAAAGTGAAACGAATATGGTTACGATCCAATTAAGCACTTAAAATTTTTAAATGCAAGCTTCCACGATTTATCACTTGAATTAGTTCGTTATTGAGCACAAAATCTCTAAATAAATTTCCGATCATCTTCAAATGAATTCAAATAGTCCGGATAAAATTAGGGTATTACAATGGAGAATTTAAATCTCTTAAGTAAAATTAAAGATTCGAATGAAATAAATTGAGTTGAGAGATTTATCCCGTAATAAGTCTATACAGTTCTTGATATGTTGAAAAAAAATGTAATAATTCTTACTTATTGTCTGGTTCAGAATTAGGGTGTAAGTTTTTGGGTTGGCGATTCAGACTATTGATATATTGGTTTCTAACATGACGAATGTGACTAATGGGAGACACGGGGGTTTGAGCATAATATCATTTAATAAAACTAATAAAGAGGTTAACATTATAATAAATAATACTATTTAAAAGAAATTAAGATATCAGTGTACTAAAAAAACCTAAAATGTCATAAAAAAAAAGGTGCGGATTTTTTTCTAATTCAATAAAATATTAAATTTTTGAACAATTTTACCTTTCAAAAACAAGTAGTTAAGAATATCTTTACAATCTATATAATATGAAAAATATTAATTATATTTATAGTAATTGATTCACATAATTGTTATTTAATATATTTATAGTAAACATTAGTGATCTATTCTTAGGGAAAAATTCTTTAAGCACCTAAATTTAACTTGATATAGTTTGAGCACTTATTTTTGCATCGAATCAAAATATAAACATGACATATGTCACTTAAGAGGTTTTTTAAGAGTAAACTATTCCAATGGTCACTAATATTTGGGTAAGTTTTTGTTTTCACCACTAATGTTTCAAAAGTTACAAATCAGTCACTAACGTTATCATTTGTTACAAATTGGTCACTTTTCGTTAACAGACGTGATGGAAAAATTAAATAGTCCATGTTATTTATACATTCTTTCAATTTGATCCTAGTTTTAATTAATTAAAATATATTTATTTTAAATTATTTTTTTATTAAGTCTATCATTTTCTAAACAGTCATATATTTCAATTTGATCCTAGTTTTAATGAATTAAAATATATTTATTTTAAATTTTTTTAAAAAAATAAATTTATTAAGTCTATCATTTTCTAAACAGTCATATATTTTAATTTGTCATTAAATCTTTTAAATTAAATTTTATCACATCATAAATTGTAAATTTAATTATTATTATTGATATGATGAAAAATTAATAAGCACATAGGTCATGAAATTGTTATGGAATGGACCAAACTGTATCCAAAGTGACTCGTGATGATATCATCGGTGAATATTCCGAGAGCTTTGTAGATTAGGTAACTAATGGAGATTTGCTTCTTTCGATAATCATCAAGTCGAACTAGTTCGTTATAGATGTGTGATAGAATTCATTCCAAACACAAGAAGAAATAAATTGAATCCATCCGAAGGATGGATTCGAGATAATAAAAATAAATCGACCGAAGGTCTGGCTTCTGCCCTAGGAAAAGCAAATTTTCAGCCCGTGTTATATCTGATGATACGACTGCATTTGCTTTAATCACAATGAATTTATTAGGTGGTGTAAATTGGTGATTATATCTAATTCATTTTGGAGCTCCGATTGTCTCTATCTGTAAAAAAGCCATAGGGATTTCGATTTCTAATGCTTGTAAATATTTTATAAATAGATTTATGTCGTCTTATTGAGAGCCCCTTAACATTATTGGTATTCTTGTATTTCATCGTGCAGTATAACATCTTTGTGGGAAATACATAAATGTGCATTCACAAATTTATCATTTCATGTTATGGAACTTTTGTCTGGTATATTACTATTAGCTTGAATATTGGAATTTTATATTTTCATATTACTTCAAGAAATATTAAATTAAAATTTTGGACATAAATTTACTTGGAAATTAAGTTTTTTTTCTTGAATCATGGGAGAGGGAGGGGATTCAAAACAATTTCACGACCTATGTGCTTATTAATTTTTCATCCTATCAATAATAATAATTAAAATTACAATTTATGTTGTGATAAAATTTAATTTAAAAGATTTAATGAAAAAATTAAATTATAAGACTGCTCAGAAAATGAAAGACTTAATAAAATTAATTTTAAAAAAATTTATGCACCGAGTGAAATTTTTTTCTTCACAAACAAGATTTTAATATTAGTATTTATTCTATTTAAATATATAAAAAATTTATGCACCGAGAAGATTTTATTTGGATATATAAAAATATATCATTATTTATAAGAATTAAAAATAAATATATTTTAATTTATTAAAGCTAAGATCAAATTGAAAGAATATATAAATAACATGGACTATTTATGTAATTATACCATCCAATTAAGCCTGTTAACAGCACGTGTGTTTTCTTTCACGCCTATTACGACGAGTGACCAATTTGTAACAAAGGATAACGTTAGTGATTGATTTGTAACTTTTAAAACATCAGGGTGAAAACAATAATTTACCTAAATATTAGTGACCATTGAAGTAGTTTACCCTTTTTTAACAGATGTTATTACACATACACCTAAAAGTGTAACAGAAAAAAATGTTAGACACCTAAAAATATTACATATTAAATGTTAAACACATATTTTTAACAAAAAATTCTATGTAAAGTTAACTTAAGATATAATTTGGACACTTATTTTTAAATTAATCCTTTATAAAATCTTAAAACTCAATTGATTTGGTGTCACGAGTTAACCGTCGCTGGAGCCGCAATACAACGCTGGACTTGCAGATGTGATGACTGTTAATGCTGTTACCGCACATTCTTGTTTTATTAGTGTTTGAGCCAATGTATGCTTCGTTCCTTTCCGAAGCTGGTCCCTTTTCCAAAATTTAACTGTTCCGTCTGCCGAATCGGTGAAAACCATTTCGCCTAAGCTCACTATAACCGCGTTTACGGCGTCATCGTGTGCTTGAACCGATTCGAGGCATTTAAAATCCGAGATTCTCCAAACCTTGAAGGTCCGGTCCCATGAAGCAGAGTAAATAAGACCTTGTTCCTCGTTCGAGCTCAAACAAGACACCGCATCCGAGTGTTTGATCCATAACGCACATTTAAGTCTCATATAGACGTAATCGCTCGGTTTAATTGAACTTTTGAGGATATCTTTAAGAGTCGGCAAATTTCCAGCTCGTTTATGAATGGAAGGGTTCTTAATCGAGACCAGAGTTTCAAATAACACCCCACTACCGCGATAGCGCCCGCGATTTCGCAGTAACGCTGTCTTCTGCTACATATGCTACACCCGCAATAGCATCTAATAGCGCCTGTTATGGCCGCAATCGCAGTAAAAAACGAAATGACCGAAAACGCGACTGCGATTTGAAACCAGACCTTCCAAACACGAATCTTCCCATCCTGATGGCCAGTGAAAATCTTTTCACCCGATATCACAACGGCCTTAACCAATCCACTATTGGATTTGAAGCCCGAGAATTCGTTAAGATTCTTCCACACACGAATAAGCTTGCTATCGGAGCCGGTGTAAAGGAGTTCGTTTCTGGCAGCTAAGGAATAGATATGTCCCTCTTCACGCATAAGCGAGCCGATGAGACTATTGGCGGAAACCAGGCCATTTTCGTCGAAAGTGTCCCATGAAGAATTGTCCGTTGGTGTGGTTTGGTTCCATGGTGACATGGTTAAGGGTGAAGCTTTACCACTCAATCTGTTGGCTTCGAAAAGGGAATGGCCATTATCTGATGTGTTGCTGTAAGCAAGCAACGAATCATCTGATGCAATCGGAGGAGCATAGACGACCATGCCGGGGTCCGTGCTATCAGGCTCTTCAAACATCATGTCCATGCTCCCCCCTCCTCCCCGGCCTCTCTATCCCAGTCCCGAACAATGAATATAGTAAATCAAACTAACAAAAACAAAACTCCAAGTCTAAAAAAGCAGCAGAGATTTGAGGGTTGAGAGAAAATATTAAGAAAAGAAGTAAAGGGTTAGGAGAGGAGACGCAAATGGTTGGATTCACATTGAATTCATACACATATATTTGCCTGTGATTATCTTTGTAGATGATTCTATTTAGTAATTTGAAGTATGGAAAATTAAGTGTATTTTTAAACGAATAATAATGATGATAATTAGAGCGTTGGAGCAGGGGACGAACGCCAATTCCATCCCCAACGCCCTTTGATCGTATCTTTGTTTACCCATCAATTACTACTAAATGATGGAATACAAATTTAGACGTAAATGGCAACTATGATGGCGACATTGTTGGGAACCATGGGGATTCCGAGTCAATCGCCTGCATTTGTATGGTGGTTGGTTAGTTGAACTTTAATTTCTAATTTAGATTCAAATATGACAATTTTTATCTTAGGAAGAAAAAACAAAAATAAGAAAACCGTTTTAAATTTGTTATATCTCAGAGTTGATGTAGACACCCGTTTTTGTCTGAGTCTCGAAAAAAATTATTATTGTTATTATTATTATTATTATTTATTTATTTATTACATATATTTTTGTAGGCCTCAACCAGCAGCCCAGATACAACAACAACTAGCCCAACACCAAGCTTACCTGACCCAACTTAGCCAACCCATTACACTAACCCAGACCCGGCTCAACAACCCACTAGTAACAAACCCGATTCGGGGACCCGAATCGACCTGAATAAAGTCCAAAAGCCAATTTGACCCGACCTATTCTAGTTAGGGTTTCAAAACCCTAAATATATAATCCAATAGCTGTCATCGCCGTTCACATGATATGAACCGTCCATCCAGACGCGTGTGATGCACGCACCGACTCTTCAACGCCCAGGCCGACGCGTGAGCCTCCGACAATGTTTCCTGAAGCTATCGCGTCATCAACCTGTCATCCACAGTGCACAACAACCCCAAAATCAGAAAAAAATCAGAGAAAAGTCATAAACCTATACCAATAATCCCTAAAAAATCAATTTTTTTACCAACCAAGTCAGAAATCCCATACCCCTATCATATATACCCATCTCATAAAAAATCAGCAGGGAAGGAACCACATTAAAAAAGAAAAAGAGAAGAAAGAGAAGGAGGAAGGGAGATTTGGGAAAGGAGAAGAAAAAAATGAAAAAAAATGGAGAAAACATATATTCGAAACAAAGAAAAAACTGAGAAATAGAGAAATCCAAACAACAAAAAGGAAGTAAATAGCAAAAAGATGAGAGATTCACCTCCGTTCGGAGCTTTGGGAGCCCAAGGGTCACCGGTTTTCAATTTTTTCGAAAGGTAAAACACTAGATCTGTGAGGCTAGGTGATTTTTTAGACTAAAAGGGGCTTTGATTTGGGTTGTTGGGAGCGGGGGAAGTATTTTGGGGCTTTTGTTTTCTCCGACCACCGACGCAGCCGGCGCTCTCGGCCACTGTGACCGTCGGCTGCAGCGACGGTGGCCATTCCCTCCCCGATGAGAGAGTTGAGAGAACTCATCTCTCTTGCTATCTTTTCTCTCGGCTTCAAGGCAAGCAAAATGAGGAGATGACATTGTTTTAGCCTAGGTTTATATATATATATATATAAACCGAAACAACGACGTTTAACAGGGGGACGGATCAACGTGTTTTCGGGTTTGGGCTAATAGCCTATTTGTCCCTGTCCTTTAGTAATATCACCCGTATTTTTTAATTTTTTAAGGAATAATAGTTGTTTAAGTCCCTTCTCATTGTAATGTGTACATTTTGGTCACATAATGAAATTATTTTCAATTGATTTGAGCCTTGAAGTTCTTAATATGTCTATTTTAGGCCATTGATTTGTGATTCATTTTATTTTGATCCTAGTATGTATATTAATGGATCTTATTGATATTTATGATTTAGTCTTTAAACTTGCTTGTCTTTTATTTTAGTCATTCATATTTTAAAGGTTTATTTTTCTCAATACATGTATTATGTGACATTTCTATTTCTGCCCTGATTTTGCCATGTCGTTGTTATGCATTTCAGTTTACTGTTATTACTATTTAGTCCCTTATTTTATTAAGAATGTCTAATTTTTATTTGTATTTAAGCTTGTCTTGTTTGTAAATGTACATTTTAGTCCAATTTTGTAACTTTGTTATATCGATCGTTATAATTTCATGTATGTATGTATGTATGTATGTATGTATATAAATTATGTAATTGTTATAAGCATTCTTTGTATGAAAATTTTCTTTTGTTTTATTATGTGCATATTTAGATAATTATTAACGCCCTTTGTTATAAATCATCATTATTCTATAAAATATGTAAAAATGGAAATTTTCATTATGAGGTAAATCTACGAAGACATCTCCCAACTACAAGGGAAAGTATATTTTCAAGGATTTTTCACACAAGTATTTTGTGTTCGATAGTTTTTTCTTTGCCTTACGTTAATTATTTCAAATATTGTTCACCTCTTTTCACTTTTATGTTGTTTTATTTTAATTCATCTCGTTTTTTGAGAAAAATATAAAATAATGTCTCTTTTATGAGGGAAATCTATGGAAAGTCTCCTAACTACAAAGGAAGTGCATTCCCAAAGATTGTTCACACAAAAGGGCATTTGTTATCCGAAAATTGACACTTTTTGAATAAAGTCAAATGAATAGAAGGATTGTAATTTAAATATATTTTCGAGTTTGTAATTCACAATATTTAAGCATCGTATAATGGTTTAGGTACCAAAGTTTGGACATTTTGGGGGTGCTCACCCTTCCCCACACGTAATCGACTCCTGAACTCTTAAAAATAAATCTTTGGTAAAACTCATACCATTTTTTGTCGTTTAAGGTTTTCAACCTACCTAACTTAAAGGTTGGTGGCGACTCCAAAATCAAATTATTTTTCAAATTGAATTTCATCGCCTTTCCCCAAATTAAATAATTTTTTAAGTCTAACGGATCCCCCAGGGAAACGTTATGACATCTTGGCGACTCCGCTGGGAAGTTTGAGAGTCAGGCCATAAAAGATTATACATTTTTTATTCTTGGGAATTACAAACTTAAAGTGTATTTAATTTACGATCCTTTTGTTTATTTTGAGTTTTAACATATCATGAATTATTTTATTTTTAACTAATTGACTTTTGATTTTATTGGTCTTCAGAATTGAGTAGGTTTTTAAGCTTGTAAGATTTTTGTCTTCTGTTTTGTTTTTTTAAAGGTTTGTGAGTTTCTCCTCACACACAACACCTAAATTTACATAACATAAGCTCCCTTACGAGCTTTATCCTTTTTAAGTTGAGGTGAAAGCTTAGCCTACGTGAGATAATTTGTTTCTCCGTATGGGTTTTAGCAAGTAACCTTTGGGGTTCATATACCTTATATCTACATGAGATAAATTGTTTCTCCGCATAGACATAAGGGAGTGTATCCTCTATAATTGAAATTGATTCGTACGAGCCTGTAATAGGCCATGATTGAGGGTTTGGCAGCCTAAGGAGGCACCAACATGGACAATTCTAGTACCTTTTTCTTAGAACCCAATACCGCATATAGTGAGCCCTAGTAACCCACCCCAATAAAATTCATGTTGAAACTCTGTCTGTTGTTAGGTACTTGAATAAGTGTATACAAAGGAGAAACAACACTAAACCTCTTCTCTTTACCCGCATTATTTTATTTTTTGAATAAAGCATGTGAACTAGAAAAGCATGTGGGTAGGTGTTGCAATTACGTTTCAATAATATTTGCTTGATATTTGAATTCTTTTATACTGACACATTTTCTATGTTTGATTGTTTATTATTTGGCATTTTTCATGATCATCATAAATAAAAGAAAGATATTGATTAACCAAGTAATCATCATAGTAGAAGAGCAGCCATTAAAATGGAAAAGAGTTTTCATAACAAGGAAGAACCCAATCCGGTTGTCTTGGCAGAGACCTTCCAATCCTAAAATAAATAACGTAGATTGAAGGGAAGTCGATTCAGAGGCTGCGCTCAACTACTCACCATCTGGATTCGGAGTAATTTCTGGAAAGAAGAAAAAGTTTTTGGGATCATTACTAAGATCATGGAGCTAAATAAAAGGGCCAAATAGCATTCGTAGATTGATCTTTCTTGTAAAGATGAAAACTCTTTTAGATGAGTGGAACTCTTTCTAAGAATGGTTACTTTTGGAAATCGATACCTTTTGCATTTGCATTCTGCATGTCATTCATTTAAGCATTTTTACATGCATTAATCATGGAATCATGAGTTTGTCTCATGGAGAACTCTGAGGAAGTGCTTCTAACTGTACAACTTCGTTCACACAGTATTGAGAATGGAAGTAAAATTTGAGAAAATGAAGAAATAACTAGAAGAGAGTTTGCAAAAGATGCAAGCAGAGTAGGAAGCTAAAATGAAGTAGGCACAAAAAGCCACCATGGATCGTATCTTGCAAAACCAAAACGACCTGGTTGATCAACTTGTGGCCAAACTGATTGGGCTCTACCAAGAAAGAGGCAAAAAGAATATTTCATCAATTATGGAAACCTCTGAATGTGTGATGGCCCATGCTAATCCAACGATACTCATTTCGCCCCACAAGTTTCCTAGCCACCAAGCAGCCTTCTCCGCCACTAAAACTCATACAACTATGTTAAATCCTCGGGGTAATTCTACTGATCATAATATATCCATTCCTAAGGTGATGATAAGAGCCAAGAATGAGATCCTTGAGAACTTAAAACAGTGGTGCAGAGAGACCTTCCAAGGAATGAGAGGACAGAGCTCTCACAATGAAATGAATGCAACCAAACTAGTCTTATTTACTGACTTGGTGCTTCTGCCCATCTCACGATGTTTGTTCAAAGAATGATTGGATATAACAACAACGATCAGATGTTGAT